CCAAGATGGAGCTTTGGTTCAGTCCTTCAAAAGAAAATGCCACGAGGGCTGGGTGAGAAGGGGACTTTCCTGCCTGCAAAACCCATTATCTTTATGGTTGTTGTTGTCCCAAACTGCGGGGCGAGGGGGTCATCTCAATACCCTTCATGGGGAGGAAGAGAGAAACTCCACGTGGAGGAATCAGAACGGATTGTTTTGGTTTCAAGGTTTCCTGGCTGGTCCTACTGCTCCCCTTTGCAGCACCCCTCTCCTCCAGGCATAAATTATCCCAAGCTACACCAAAGCCACTTATTTTTCATGCCGCTTTCCATTGCATTGGGTTTATGCTACTCACTCAAGCTCCCAAGTGTGACTGGGAGCTGCAGTTTGACAAAGGGCTGGAACGTCTTTCAAAACTAACTACTTCCAGGAGCTCATTTTATGAACTCTGACAAGAACTGTTGGTTATGCAAAATAAACCCGTTCTGAATCATTGAGCCCTTCTCATGATGATGTGCTCATCTTGCGTTATTTGCCAGCTTGCTTGACGGTTGCTTCATTTCTGTTCTCATTTAGGCAAAAGGGAAGCAATTCTTTTCTTAAAAGGCTGGTAGATGAATTTTCGCTTTGTTGCAGCACCTTCATCCTGCTGTTAAACAATGCCTAGGATGCACGGTCCTGCTGTGCATTTTAGATTAGACAGGCACTGGATCAAACATCATAAATAACGGGGGGAGCAGGGCCTGGGACCCTGCTCCCTAGACCGCCCCACACACCCCGGGGTCACCCCCATCGTGCAGTTGCAGAGCTGGGCTCCTGACTTGCTCCCTTCTGGCCCCATGAGTTATTTGTTTTTGGCCGCAGAGGGGCCAGGCTTCAACAAGAGGGGTAAATGGTGCCCTCCCTACACCTTGCATGTGCTAAAGCCTGGTGCTTAGAGCAGCCTCCTAGGGAGCTGCAGATGTGGAATCGAACCTCCTCACTATGAGACGGGCCTTGAACCCAAGTCTCCTACTCTCTGGGCAAAAGCTCGCACAATTAAACAGCTGGGTGCAAGGTCACCGCCTCCCCAACGGGTTGCATTGCGTGAACGTCCTCGTGGCTTGTTACTTTGGTACTGAGTTCAGTATCGTTGGTGCGAGTGAATTGTGCATGGAGAACTCCTATTGTATTGGGTTTCTGGAGATTTGGGTACAACTTTGATACTGCCCCAGCTTCTGTATCCTAGCGGGGTTTAGGTGGGACTTGGGCATCTAGGTGCTCAGCCTTGAAGGTTACTAAGCTTCCTCGGGCATCTAAGTTCAGGTACACACAGATCTCTGCACTCCAAAAATTTAGCGCTGAACTAATTTAGATGCCTGAGGGGCCAGAGTAAGGTTATTCTGGATCACTTTTTGTGACTTGCATACATTTTCAGCATGCATTTGACCAATCTAGACCTGGCCACAGGTCTCCATCTGTACATGGGACATAACAGTGCTTCCCAGTCCCATCTGGTTGATCAGAGAATCCAGTGGACTAATGTGATTAGCTACCAGTGGCAATGCTGGCAATGTAACTAAGTACTATAGACAAGAAGGAAGCTCAGACCCAGAGCTTTCCCCAGTACCTGACTTTTGGGCGGGGGTTAGTTTATGGCCCCGGTCTAGAATCTAAAGTCTAAATATTTCAATCTCGAGGTTTCTCTGCAAGAAAGAGACTCTGTGACACTGCAAAATGCTGGCAGTAGGTCTGAAAAGAGCTGAGCCCCTGCCAGTGTGGTCCTGGTTCCCGTCGGGAGCTGTCTGGGGGCGTAGAGCAGTCATCAGCTAGTGCTGAATGGGTAGAAATATTAATTGGTGGCATTTCCCTCTGGACAAGATGCAGGCTCTGGAGCTAACCCCGCTAATGAAATATGCTCAGATCCCTTGGGGGCGTTGCATGACTTTATGCTCAGTGCACCAGAAAATGTAACCGAAGAGCCGTTTCTTCGAATTGAAGCTTTGCTTCTCTCATTGACTAACTGTGTCATTGCTGCGTTTAACGGCGACGGCGATGTGCCAAGGGGAATATCATGGGCTAAGTCCAGTGTTGTAGGCACCAGAGATGAGACTCTCACTCATGCAGTAGTGCAAATACCAGAGAAATGAGAAGCCAGTATCCCTTTTCCAGAGGGACTGAGGGGTTTTGTATCTTTAGTTTAAAATGCTGCAGGAGCTCTGCATAGGTGGAGAACTGGAGGGGTGTTTGGGTGTATGTTCAACCCTGCCCTCACCTGCACAGCAGGTATATTTGATCTCTAGCCGTGAGCCACTGCAGTTTTTCTGGCAAAATGAAAAATAGCCTTATGGTTCTTAGCATCAGCTTGGCTGAATCTTCCCAAATGCCCAGGTAACTGCCCCCACTCCCACAAATGCATGCTGAGGAGAGTGGGGGGCTTTTCATGGCCACACCTTGGAAAGACTGCAGCTGAAACAGTCGGCTGTTACAAAAGGGAAGAGAGATTACTAAAACGAGTCTTTCTTGACAAAATCCATCGCAATGATAAATGCCACGTGCCGCGCTGACAGCCCTGGGGACTCCTTGTCTTCTGCTTCCCACACCTCTTTTCGAGGGACCCTTTAAATGGGTGAGAGGCACTCAATCTCCATGGCTCATTAAGTCCTCTGCGCGGCTGCTGGCATTATGAACAAGTGCACCCGTTTTAATGGCTTTGGTGATGCAGACCCCTGCCTGGAAGAAACCAGAGTCGGCTCCACTCAACGTATTTCAGACGGGGCCCATCAAGCAGCTGTGAGAAGTTATTTGCTACTGAAATAGAGTTGATAAAACTGGAGCTATGATATTAAAACCTTCCCTTGAGTGACGCAATGAATAATGAAAGAGTCTGTGGCTTGTATGAACCGCAGTCTGTGCCCGTGCCAGCCGCTGTTTCCACGACCAAAAGACTGACTCTACCACTTCTTCTTTTCCCTGTTGAAGGTCCTTCCCTAATTCTCCCACCCATCTAGGATCTTGGCACTGGTCCTTAGTCCCAAATGACCCTTGGTTTCTACTACTGCATCCCAACACTTCATTTAACCGAGATCTGGAAACATGAGTCTGACAGCCACCGTTTCCCACATTTTTCTCCTTTAAAGGAGAAGCCATTTGGTGATCCGTTTTCAAAGTTTATTTGCAACCCGCTCATATATTCTTGAGACCCACTTTTGGGTTGCGAGGCATGGTTTGAGAAATGCTGCTCTAAAGCATGCAGTGGGTCAGAAGTGACTGGGATGCCATCTCCAGATGCATTTCTTTATTGCCTAAGTATCTGTTCCCTGGAGAGTTATGTTCGCTGTCCTCTGTCGGGTGAGGGCCAGAAGTGGACGCTATAGAGGGAAAGCACTGAAGTCTATGTACCTAGAGTCATCTATCCCCTATTCAGTACCCTCCCTGGCATCTCCCGTTGTTAGTTTAAAGGTGCATCTCCAAGCCGCTACGCTAGGTTGCTAGACCTAGCCACCCTATTTGACTGAAAAAACTGAGCACAACTCCCCCCAGTGACAGTAAATTTGCCCCAAAAATAACTTTTTGAGGGACCAAGAATTCAAACCAAAATATTCCATTTGGAAATGCCAACGCTTCTTGTTTCAAAACTTACCTTTTAATTTTAAACTGACATTTTAGCAGAAAATAGGCTTTTCTTTTTCCAGCCTGGAATTGCCTGAAAATGGAGCAAAACATCTTGGTTCAGGGTGAACCAAACACTTTTGGATTGACCTGAATTTTTTTGGTTTTAAATCATTTTTATTAGTGTGGCCAATAGTTTTAGACAGAAAACTGAAGCACCACAGAATATCCGATAGGAAAAGACGAAGAGGCAGGGTCTAGATAAGTACTTAAGGTGGCAAACCTCTCCTGACTTGCCGGCCACTTCTTTGCTTTCACGCTCCCATGGAAGTAGCCCTGGACCTCCCTAGCCTGGACCTGCTCCCCACTTTACTGCAGACGGAGAAAAAGAAGATGGCAACAAAACCAAAGCAATGCAACAGTGGATTCGTACTGGATGCTGGACACTGTGGTTTGAACCGGTGGCTGCAGTCTGAGGCTTTGCTGTAGCAGAGATTGCAAAGACCCAGAGACGAGCAATGGAGACCTCTGAAGACGCTTAGATGGCCCTTGCATATCAAAAAGATGCCAAAAAAAACGGGATTCCTTCAACAGGACAGGTTCTTAGTTAGGAGTGGCTCAAGTCAGGTATCCAGACTGTCTAGTGACCCGACTCACCTCCGTGTTACAGGTGAATGTAGGGCCATAAAGGGCCAGCGTACACGGGAAGGGATGAAAACCTTGGGAAACTCAGAGGCAGATAAAAATGAAGAAGGAAAAAGCTCTTTCCCAGAGTGTATGTTTGCCCTGTGGAAATCCCACCTCCAGAAGTGGCTGGCTCCGTCTACACTGCGTCCCCGGCAGGTGCGAGGCGAGCCTGCCCTGCCTGATCCGCTATCCCTTGCACGTGCCAAGCCCTGAAAGTCACGGGAGCTGCTCCGGGATGTGTCCCCCCGACCTGCCACTCGCGGGACCTGCCTGGTGTGCCTGAGAGCGGCTCACTACTGCGTCTTGGGTCTGGTGTCTACGAGCGGGAGCAGCTGAGTGAAGTGTGTGCCAAGCAGTGACGTGGGCATGGTGTAAACACAACCTACAAAGTGAGACTTGAGGCTCAAATCCGGGTCCCATCCACAGTTTACTGGTTGGTAGATTGCTTGCTTGGGTCATGCTTACCTCCGGCACGGCACAAGGTAGGGAGAGTGCCCTACACTGGCCAGCTATGACCCATATGGTATTGTACTGAGAAACTCTGAGGTTGTCACATCCACAGCTCTATAAAAAGCGAGGAGGTATGCCTTAAAGGATGGTGGTAGGAGGGAACATAGGCTCGGCAGGGAATAGAAATGGGGCATTCTCAGCTGTCGTCTCTATTAGCTTTGGCAGAAGCCTTTCTTCTTCATTACCATCTTGTCCCATGCTCCCGGTCTCTCATTTCCTCCATGCTGATGCCCTGCTATCCATGGTCAGCTTGACCCTTCTCTTCCTCACTGCTGCTTCTGTGAAGTATTTTGGAAATGTTGCTGAAGAGCGTCACGATCTCAAGGCTGCTGCTTCTCTCTCTCACTGCAACCAAAAAGGAGGGTTAAATGTAAGGCAGCCCACTCTCACCACGCTAACACGAGTCTCTCAGTACCTGCTGTCTTTCCTTGCATCCTCAGCTCCTGGAATCATGAGATGAAACCAGAAACTTTATTCTAGATTTATAGTTTGCATCATAGCGTGGGAAAGGTGACGTGTGTCCTTTAAAATATTCAAGACAGAAAAGTCTATGAGTTGTGGAGGGGACGGGGTTAGCTCGTGTTCAGTGGGTTGATGTTGCTATCACATGGGAGAAGGACTTATGGACCAGGTCAAACAATGCACGTGCAAGAGAGTGCAGACTTGCACCAGGGACAGGGGGAAGGGGAAATGGGATCCCCCACTCCCCCCCCCACACACACACGCGCGCACACACACACACACACACACACACACACACACGCACACACACACACACACACAGAGGAACTCAGTCTTGGCATTTCTGATTGTGAAGGCCCCAGACGTGGACTCCAGGATGATGCTGGGACTATCTGAGAGGGACCCAGTGGTCTGAGGGGGTTTGGAGAGTCATGAGTCATAAAAACAAGTTTCTAGCTGGAGGCCAGGAGGAGGAGGAGGAGGATCAAGACGTCCAAGTTTGCTGAAGGGATGGGAGGAGGGGTATATCCAGGGGGAACCTTATATAGGTACAGGGTGGGCAGATTTTGGAAGGGATCCGCATGTTGGTGTCTCTCTAAATCTTCTGTAAAAATCACCCGCAGAAGATCTGGCCACAGCGTGGAGAGAGATGGCCATACGTGCTTGTTGCAGTTAGGAAGTGTTAAGCGTTCGTCTATCGGTATTAAAGCAGAGGGCGTCCCCAGCACGCAAAGTGGCCCATAGGGCAGTTTGCACCATCTGAATCACACCGGCTGCACGCTGCACGCCAGCCAGGACCATGGACAAGGGATGGGCAAGAGACCTTGCTTGACTAGACAGTTGCAAGGTTTGATGAGTTGGCTTCGAGCCCCCAAGGCTTGAATAAATAATCTACTGTTAGGAACAGATACAGGCTGCTGCTCCTGGAGAATTGCTGCAAACCCAGCCTACTGCAGGAGCGCTAGCAGGGGCAGGCCTAGCCTTCGCCAGCAAGGGGTATTGTAGGGCAGCTGGCTGGTCGGAGGTGCCTGGCTCCTGCAGCTTTGATCTCCTCTAGTAGAGTAGTGCGTGGTTCTCAGCCTTTAAGACTCAAGACAGCCCTCATTAGACGCACGTCCTCCCTCCAAAAATGCCAACTCTGTGTTTTCACTTGACTACGGAAAAAATAATGGGACAACTCTTCTGTTGCAAAGAGGTCAGCGAGCCCGCAGCCGGTCAGAATGGCTTTAAAACTATGGATTCCCATGGGAAATCTCTGGGTTTATCTTGTGAATCCTGTTTGCACACTTAACGGTGCTAATGTTGCCTGGCACTTTTCTGATACCCTTGAAAGGGTCTCACAGCGCCCCGGCTGAGAATCACGGTGGTAATTCCCCGTGGGGACACAAGGAGAGTGACCGCTGGGAGGATAAACACGGAGAAAGGAACATGAGTGCGTTTCATACCAAGCATCCGTGAGCTCAGCTTCTTAGCTTTTGGGTCCTTGGTGCTGGATACCAATGTACTTTCCCTAGAAGTTCAATAAAGTTCAATAATTTGATGAATCATTAATTCAATAATGATTTAAAATATTATTAAAAATAATTCAATTAAAAACTCACCCCTGGCCAGTGATGGCCCAAACCAATAATGGTCTTTGTTACAGTTGCCTGAACAGATATGACTGACAGTAAAAGAGAAGCCAGGGTCCTCCACGGTACTCCTGGACTCCCATAATGCCTGGATCCCCCTGACTCGATGCTGGAGCCCTAGTGACCTTGCAGCTGGCAGAGCTTAGGCAAGGTCCCTTGCTAGTTGGCACTTAGATAAGATCGTACCCAGAGGATCAAACCACAAAGATTATCCTTAAATACCCATATTTGTGCAGACCGAGGTGCGTGGTGGTGCTCTCCCAGGAGAAAGCCCGACCCACGGTGGTGGCTGATGCTAGCTAGAAAAGGTGGGGGATGTAGCTTGACTGGGGAATAACTTATGTCATTCCCCCTCACTTCGGCCTCCATCACAGGGCTGCCGAACTGAAAGGTGTATGAACCCTAAGAAACAGCAGCAGCAGTGGAAATGTCTTGTGCAGTTGGACATATCCCAGCATACGGGAGCTCTTGCTGGCTGGGGCAGGAGCCAGGGGGGGAAGACAAGGACGGGCAAAATTAGCTTTCTGTGCGGGGCCAAGCCAGGACCAAGGTGCACGCTGTGTTGCTCTGCGGCTGCCCACACTTTGCCCAGCCAAGGACTACATCCCAAGTGATCAAGGACTGAGGGACAGAGCCAGTGTGGACCCAGGAAGCCGACTAGGACCATGCAGATGTGCAGTGCACAACGGCGGCCCATGGAGATGAACGCTATTATTTCCAGTACGCAGTGCTCTATCGTGAGATAAGGCGACCTGCATATTCTTCGCTTGCCCGTTTCTTCCTTGGTCCAATACCCTTCCCACTTGCCTTCCCTCATGCCCCCTCCTAAGTTTGCAACGACCCCCATTCCCTGTGGCCTCAGCACCCTTTCTGGCCCTTCATAATCCTGTCTTACAACTTTTTTTTCCATTCTTCTCCTGGCCTCCCCCTCCCCGAGGAGAAGAATGGCTTAAAATGGAAACTTCAGGACAAGGAACATCTCATTCAACATCTGTAAGTTTGCCAGATGTGATTCTTAGCCAGAAATTCATTTTGAATGGGGAGATCTCTGGGCCCTGCCACATCCTCCTGGGACAGAAGTAGAGCCTGAACTAATGTGTCCCATTGCTACCTACAGACCTGGTCCGACTCAGTGCTGTGCTGGAAGGAAAGAAGTAGTCATCAGCCTCTTCTTCTAGGTCTCCTTCCTTTCCTGTCGTGTCCGACTCTCTAAGACCCTTGGCTTTGGCAAGTGGCTCCTTCGTCTCTGTGCTGGGGCCTTGGGCAATGCTTGTTCTGCTGTAGTTTTCACAGGATGGGTCTTGGGACTTATCTTCCTCCTCCTCCTCCTCCTCCTTGGCTGGACTGGTATCCGCTGGAGCCTTCTCCCAGCTTCCTGGCTTTAGGAAGTTAAGTACAGCAGAAATCAGACATGGCAGATATACAGTGAGATGGACCTCATACGGGGAGAGGCTTTGGTTGTGGTGTGAGAGGGCAGCTTCTGGTGGGCCAGAGACCATGAAGAGGGTAAAGTAGTGCCCGGTACAGGGCAGGCATATAACGAGACAGTGGAGAAGCCACGTGGTATGGGATGGGGTGGCCACAGGGTATGACAGGATGGTTTCATAGTTTCATAGTCGTTAGGGGCTAGAAGGGACCTTGCAGATCATTGGGTCCCCTCCCCCCACTGCATTTGGGCGGGAAAGACCGCTGGTGTCAGATGACCCCAGCAAGATGGGCATCAAGACGCCCCAGCAAGATGCCCAGATGGTCACAGCAGGCAGATTATCTTGGCTTCATATGCCGAAGGTGAGGCATGTGCCCATCAGACTCACCATCACCTCTTTCTCCTCTTCCTCGCTCGGTAGGCTTTTCACCTGGAGAAAATCTCTCGATAGGAAGGAACGGGGGCGCAGGTAGTAGGCTGGGGGGTGATGGAGCAGGTAGATGAGTGACACCCAGCGATCAAAGAGAGGCTCCTGCTCCTCTGGGGGGGCATAGAGCTGCAGGTAGTACGAGCGCCCGTTGATCAGCTTGATTTTGATGCTCTGCTGGTTGAAGTTGTAAACTGAGATTCGCACAAACTGCAAGGGCAGGAGCCTACAAGGAAAGCCACATGTGAGACTGGCTCGCACCCCATAGCGGGGTAGAACGAAGGCTTCAGAGACAACATGTGAGAGAGAGCATACCGGAGACCCCTCAAGCCGACGGGAATAGTGCCCAAATGGAAAAGACTCCAGGAGCCATTCTCAGCCCAACTTTGACTGGTTACTCATGGTTTTGCCCTTAATTTTAAAACCAATGCAGCCAGAGCCTTGAATAATGAAGGTCCATGCATCCAATGAAAGCTTGGACCGTAGGGTGCTCATGTCCTCTTCTCCGAAGGCTGGGCTTCGTAGAGGTGAGGGGTGGGTAGAGAGTTATGCCATCTGAAGGCCGTTGCCTTAAATAGCTCGGCACTCCCGCTAGCCCTACCCATCCAGGTGGGCCCTGCTGGGAAACCCAGGCCCTTTGGCACGAACGCGGTGCCAACTTGAGCTCAGGAGGTCACGGTGCTCTCGCACGTGCCTAATGAGGATGCACTGCGGGCGTCCGCAGGGACCTCCACCTCTCGGAGCCAGCCACAGAAGGGCAGAGCCCCCGCGAACTCACCGGGTGAGCGCCACTTGCTCCGCGTAGTGCCCCGAGGAGACCTGGCCGCTCTGCAGCATGGGCACGGGGTGAGCGATGAGCATTATGTCGGGCAGCGGCAACTTGTTGTTGGTGGAGACAATGCCAATGATGGCCTCGTTTTGGTGGTTGTGGATGTCCACATTCTTGCCTCGTCTAGTGACCTGCACACGAAAGCTAAGGCATCAAGCTAAGGCACGGGGGAGTCGGACAGAGACTTTCTGTATAATGACTGTTCCCTTCTCAGCTGGTTGTCCCTCCCTACTCCCACCCCTGCTAATTCCTGTCCTGCTCTAGGCGGTAAGCACCCTGCGGCAGTGTGGCTGGCATCGTATCCACTTGCTTCTGACGCTCCAGCTTGAATGACCAGGTGGCCATGGCCAGCTGGGTCAGCGTGGCACTGTAACTCCAGAAGATGCAGTTCGATCCCTGCTCTGGATTTACAGTAAAATGCCCGATCCACCTTGACTTCTCTCCTTTTCATTTGGCCTGTGCTAGGCCAATAAACACCCAGGCTTCCAGCTTGATTCACAAGGAGCCCAACAAAACACACCCATGTGCTATTCCACTTGGGCACTGCCTGCCTCTGCAAACTCAGCCCCCCTTGGGGAGTTGTCGGCAAACTTGGGACTCCCGAATCCTGGCACGTGCAACTCTGCTGCCGGAGCTAACGCAGCTCTGGCAGGTCCAGTTGCTGCTAACGGGTGGCAGAGCATCTCTCTCTGCATAAATTATGCCTGGCAAAGGACTGCCTACAACTGTCAAGGAGATGCTGTTGTTCCCTCCAGCTCGCATAGCTGAGAAACCTCAGTCAGATGCTATTAATCTCTTCTCGGGGGGGGGGCCTTCCTGGTCCCTTCCTCATTTTGAAGATGGGAGAAACTGAGACTCCAAGTGAAATGGTTTTCCCCAAGAGTCGGGCATGCTCGGGGCGATCTGATGTTGGCTGCACGCCATTATTCAGTCCTTTTTTTACCTGGATAAAGTTGCTCTCGAACATTGCAACCGTCTGAAAGGGAGAATACTCCCCTTCACGCAGGTGTCTTTGGAGATCTTCCCGAAGAGGGATCCGGGCCTTCTCTGTCGGTCTGGTTGAGGAGTCTGCCACAGGGTCTGCACGCGAAGCCCTGCAGCTTCGGGACTGGTGCCAGAAGCCCAGAGGTTGCGGTGACACCAGGAACCTCTGATGGGAAGGGAGGAGGCAACAGGCTCAGAGGCTCAGAGGCAGATGCTGTGTCTCTAGCAACCCCCCACAAGCCCCGCTTCTCCACAGAGGTGCAGGTGCATAGGCCAGGGCAGGGGTAGTACGTGGAAGCATTCACTCATTAGCCTCAAACGCCGTCCTGTGCAGCACTGAGAGCAGTGGGGCTCCTGGCTCAGGGCTCTTACGCATTACAGGGACAAACCAGACTACTCTTCTTCGTCTCGATAAAGGATTACGAGATGCAATGAGCTCATATGAAATTGTGCAAACAGCTGGATGCCACCAGAGAATTCCCCTACCCTAGACCGATCCCCTGGGACAGCCGGACGCACCAGCTTTCGGGCAGCGTCGCTGTAATGAACAGAAGCTGGCCTGTGTTGTGAAGCTGTCGTCTGAAAACAGTCAACTGGGTAGGGAAATAGAGAGAAGTCGGGGGCAGGAGCTTCGGAGGAGAGTACAGGGGGCAGAGACAAGATAAAAAATGAGCTTGCATCGGTGCTAGACGGCAGATGGAGCTGGGCAGAGCAGAGATCACTCACTCTGGCAGGGGAGAGCGTATAGAGAGCTTGATCTTTGCTGCGCTGGCTGGTCCAGCCGGCTGCTGATCAAGGAGAGGGCTGCTTTTGTTGCTGTGGGCAGACATTTGCTCTGATTCCTATGAGCATGGACATGGGTATAGCAATACAGCGGGGTGGGGTGCAGAAGATGCGTGGGAGTGTTAAACCCTTTGATTTAACATCAAGTTTTACGGGTGCATCGCTTTCCCAGAAGGGCCGTCACAGACTGATTTTTCCGCGACCGAGAAAAGACCTCCTTTTGTGTAGAAATCCCTACTTTACAGCCTCCTCCCTGTTGCTGAAGCCATGCAGCACTGTACCTTTTAGTATTGGGCCCCACTTTGCTGGAGGTAAGGGTAATAATAATAAAAAATTGCCATTTTCGGGCCCCCTTTCTGGCCGGGCCCCAGGCAGCCAACCAGTTCACCCATGCCTTTGTCCGGCCGTGAAGCAATGTTACGGTGATCTCTGCCAAGCCATAAATGCCCAGTCGTACATACCATGGGGAACCAGCGGTATCCTCCAACACAGGTCATAAGCCGGCCGGGACTCGGGCTTGAGGCCAGGCCCTGGTTACCATAGGTGTGACCCTTGCATTATGATGTCATCACAGGTCATGTTCGCCCCACGCCTTCATGACGTTTTTCCAAGAGTCCTTGTGTTTTATTAGGAGTCTCACCTGCCGTCGGGAATGGGAATTTGTAAGAACTCGTGCTGGGAAGTGCTTGGCTGCTGGGCCTGAAAGGGCGGCATGCCGGTCACGTAGGCATGGATAAAGTGAAGCTATGGGTGGGTGATGTACAGGAGGAGGTTTTTCATCTTAATTCATAAGGCCATGGGTAGAAGAGCAGTTATTCTGAGCAGGGTGCTTTGTGAGGGGCATCTAATTTCTATCTCTGCATTTCTAATACGAGAGGCTTTTCCATGCACTCTGACCATCAATACGTGCATGTGCCTGCAGCCTTCAGATCACCTTGGCATGGTTACTTCTACGTTATAAGGGGCTTTTCTGAGTGATGAACATCAGGGTGAGGCAGGGATACAGAGAGGCGTCTCCTTCTCCCTCTGGTTTGCAGGTAGAAACCTCAGCAATGCCCAGCTCCCAGGTTCCTCAGGAGGAGCCCTCCTTTTTAGGACAAAGGGGGTCTCCCTCAAACAAGCCCATTAAGCTCTCAGCAGGCCTTGTGAGCTCAAACCTCCTCTGCTCCTGTGGCTCCTTTCCTATGGGCCCTTCAGGTGCCATAAAAGAGAGTTCATGGTCTGGTGGGCTTCTGGTGGGTGGAGGGGGGTAAGGGAAGGGTCCCAAGGGCTAGGTGTGGGGGTCGATAAGGGAGCTGCAGGCAAAGGGCATGGGGACGGGGAGAGAAGCACGAGCTGTGCGCTGGCTCCTGCGGCCAAAGGACCGCCTGTGGTTTGCAGCAGGAGCAGCATCCTCATCGCGCAGCGGGGCAGAAACCCGGTTTTACAGACGGGGAAAGCGAGTCACGTAGGCTGTGACTTTCCCAAAGTCACTTTGGGAGAGCCGAGCCCAGCCGTCCCTAATCGCGTGGCCGGCCTTCTTTCTGCAGACTTGAGGGGAGGGCGGAGGGACAGCATGTCCCGGGGAATGGGCTCCCCGCTAGGAGAGCTGATTTCAGCAGACCATTAACCTACAGGAAACCCTGCAATCCTGCAAGTGTTATTGCTGTTTGGCTGGAGTAGGCTTTTATTACCTGGAGTCTTTCCTATTCCGGATGCTTTCCAAAGCAATGAGCTGTGCAGGTGTATGCATCAGCCCCGTGCTGTGCGGGGGCTCGCTTGCAGCTCTGGTGCGAGCAGCTGTTGTATGGAGAGTAACAGAGAATGGCGGCAAGGTTATTCCCTAAACTGACCGAACGGGGCCACGACGCCGTGGCATCTACAGCCGCCTCCTGAACCCGGACCCAGGCTGGGCCCTGCGGGGTGGGAGATGCGGGAAAGGAGGAGGAAACCAGATGCTGACCACTGGAGCTGGCCCTGGCCTGTAGCCTTATTCACATGGCTCGTGAGATGTGGGTTCCCAGTAGCATTAGCAGTGAGTTCAGCCTGTTCTGTCCCATTGAAGAGAGGACTAATGCTATTGCAGCTTAATCTGCTTTTAATAGTAATGCTATCCAGTAGCAGGATAACTGGACCCCTTTTCCCACTGCTGTGTTTGATTTAAAGCAACGCTGTGATCCCGGAGAGGCTGCTTGCTTTCTTCCTGGCTGGACGCTGCTTCGAGGTGTTACCGTGCGGAAAGGTATAGCTCCCCACATCAGGGGCGAGCCGCTGTGTTGCTACCGAAATCAGAGACCGGCTGGTGAGCTGAAGGAGACGCAAGCGGAGGTCTGGATCCCATGTGCTTGGTTGGTCAGGAAGGGAGCCGAGATCGGGGCTTTGCCCCACTCCTCTGGTCGGCTCCCATCAAGGTCACATTATTACGCTTCTCTCTCAAACCACACCATTGCTCCACTGCAAACTAGGGAGGGTGTTACTGGCTCAAAATGATTGTCACGTGCCACTCCAGGGGCCGTAGCATTTCACCGTTACAACCTGTACGCAAGAGTAAGGCTCTTACCTCCACATCTGCTCCTGAAAATAGATGTGAGAGTTCACGTGAAAGCTAAGGCAGTCGGCAGCTGTCCATGGGACCTCCTACCCAATTTAAACCCCTCTTATCTTCCCTCCGTGAATTACTGCTTTGCTTTGGGTCTTCATCTTACTCCGGGCCAGAGTCCCGTCGTTGTCTTTGTGATATTCGCAGAGGTCACCACGGGGCGGGTGGATGCTGGGAAACTCCACAAGAAACCTGTCTGCCTAATCTTGCTATTGATCTAAGCTTTCATTTCGGCGTGAACACCCCTGATGTGGGGTGGGAACATCATTATCTTTAAATTGGCTCCTGAAACATTGACCTGCGAAACAAATATTGCCAGGCGTTCAGGACATCCCCGGGGGTAGCATGGGAGCCAGACACACAATTGGCTGGTCTTCTTAATATCCCAACGCACAGCCCAGAGGAAGCAATTTCTAATAAAGAGTGGAGATGAACACTGATGGCGTCAACCCCTTTTTAATCACTACTTTAATTTTGTTCTGTGTGGGCCGACTTTCATAATGGAGAAATTTCTCTGGGGCCAAGCGTGTGTCCTCTCTGGGGCCAAGAAATAAAAAGGAAGAAAGTGTTTGTGTGGGAACTCAACAAGGTGCATCTCTGGGTAGGTATTTCTCTCGCTTTTGGAGCTCTGCATCTTCTTCCTCCATGTCGTGCTACACAATGACTACTGTGGAGTCATAAGCAGCTACAGGTAAGTTATAATTTTACTGCAAATATTATTCGCAAAGTACTAGTTGCGTGGTGCAGTGTATTTAAAATGTCGTGTCCAGAAAATGTGGTGCTGACTAAAGACATAGGAGTTAGATATCTAGGAAGATGGAAGCCCCTGTGTAGCCATAGGATGGGTACAAACTATGGGCCATTGGACTACAGGGGAACCATGCTGACAAGGAGTATGTTGAGTGTTTGGCTAAAGAGAAACAACCTACTACTGCTACTGTCTGATGCTCAAATATATGGTGATGCTGCAAGGCCACCCTTCGCATGCAGACCAAAAGACAGGCCCAAGCCCTGATGGCAGGTCCAACCCATCTTATCCCTGTTGTAGGGTGAGACAATTTAGTCTTCAAACCCTTCAGGCTTGGCCTGCTCACCAGCAAGCATGGAGATTAACACTCGTCTTCGTGGGGTCTCTGAGAGGTACGAGACCAGCTGCTCCCAGAGCTGTCACGCTTTGCTGGTTGGATGACTTTCCCCATGGCTTGGCCTGCACAAAGATTATCCTCCTAACTAAAAACCAGGCTGTGTCCTAACGTGGAGAATGAGGTCCGAGTCGTGATGTGTGACTAGCTGGCGTGTCTCTTCTGCTACGTGTGCAGAGCCCTTGGTGCGCGTGGAGATGACAGGTGTTGCCCAGTGATTGTGTGCCAATCACAATGCTACAGTAGAAATAGTAAACTAATTTATTAATCATTTTGCTATGTACAAGTTTAATGGAGAAAGAGTTGTATGAAACAATTAAAAAGAACAGGTTCTTTGTCTCGTCATTTGTACAAACGGTAACGGCAGTGGCGCAGTCAGACCCAGGGTTGTCGTTTATTGGTCATGCTTTCGTCTGCAAATTAGGCAGGACGGGGCAGAGCGGCAGGCACGGCTCTGTCGTCCTGGGAGTTACAAAAATACACCCTCGAATGTGACAGCACTGAGACAGCAGCTAGGACAAGGTACATGCCATGGGAAAGAGACATAACAAAACACAGACACCGTTGTATCGCTGAACAAAGAAGTCAACCCCGGACTCCTCAAGGAAGGTCGTCAGCTTTCTCTGCTGCTTCTTGAACCAGCCTCTTAATCATGGGCAAGTGTTAACGTTGGCAGCCTTTGTCTGCCTCGTTGTGCCAATAAAGAATTGAATTGGAAAGAGATCCCCCACAGTCATGGCAAGAAAGAGATTGGGCCAGATCCTATTCACCTGTTGGCATGCAAGTGCAAGCCTATACCCCCAGTTCCTGAAAGAGGGTTTAAATGCCTGCTTTTGTAGCACGCCTCTGCTTTAACCTTGCGGCTAAGTCCCCAGAAGTGGTGAGGAGGAGGAAGACCCACCCACCTTGGCTATTGGCGGGGTTGCAGGGATTTGAGCAGGATCTCATGTTGGGACTCGAGCGGGTGGGATCTGATCTAGCTCTTCCTCGGGATGGAGACGGGCTTTGTGATTTAAGCAGGGGGTTGGCAGTCAGGATATCTATTCCCAGCACGCCTGCCGGCATGGTGCGGTCCTGTAACTGCTCTGGGTCTCAACTTCCCTATCTGTAGCAGGGTGGATTACAGCACGAGAGTGAGGGGAGATTTAATTCATCCTTGTTTGCAAAGAGCCAGGAGCCCCTGGGGTACAATGTGCTAGAGCAGCGCAGGCACTCAAAAAAGACTGTAGTTACTCTAGCAGCAAATTTTAATGCCTTCATCTGTACTAAGCAGGACCTTCCTCCAGACACAGCCCTGCTGATTTCCGTGTGCCCTCTCATGCAGGAAGGCATTATTCCCCAAGTCATGGTAGCAGAGCAGGGCCTTTAGTTTTGCTTACATTTTTTTTTTTACACATCCACGGTTATTCACAGCAACATTGACCTCCTAGCCAGGCCTCTCCTGGCAACACACAGCCAGTTGGGTTAAGAATTCAGAGCCTCGCACCCCAAAATATTCTTGGACAGGGAGATGACAGCACTGCACTGTGATGGCACTTTTTTGTCCAAGGAGCTCAGGGCACTCTACAAAGTCACAAGGGGAAGTAGGATCATTGCCTTCATTTCACAGATGGGGACAGTGAGGCACAGCGAGGGGAAGTTACTTGCCCGTGGTCTTGCAGTGAGTCAGTGGCCGAGCTGGAAGTAGAATCAGCATCTATTAGAGACATGGAGGCCACAGCAGTAATATCATTTAAACATTATTTTCTGCTATCCTCTCTAGAGGGAGCACCCAGTTCTTGTCCTAAAACAGCTCGGCATGGTTTCTTTAGAGGTGTGCAAGCCCAGACACAATCTTTCCTGTTCAGATTTCAGCACCCACCCCGACCCCCACCTCCGAATCTACTTGGAGACTTTCAGTGCCCAATCAGATTTTAAGTGTCTAAAATCTCCTCTTTTCAGACACGTTACCCGCAGTGTCCTGCCCCGTTAACTCATAGTGCAGTTGCAGCTGGATCCTGCTTTCTTCCCTTCCTGTCTTAAACCGTAGCCACGGCCTGGTAAATGGTGCTCGTGCTCTGCCACAGAGGTGGCTGCCTTGCAGTCGGGAGCTGCCAGGAGGCCAAGGCCCAGGAACGAGCCTTGCCCGCTTGCTCCCGGCCTGCGGGTACCACTTTCTGAAAATACGGCGTAGCCGCTTTTGGGTCAAGGCTGCTCCTGAGAGCACGTCCGGCACTACTGGGAGTGACCACAGGGCGCGTTTCCGCGCGCGTTGCGTGTGGAGCAAGAATGAGGAGGAGGACTGTGTTTCTTGGCCGCGGTCTTGCAATCGCTGTGGAAGTGGGAGAGAGAGATGCTCCCAAGAGGCTGAAGCAACCTGGGCTCCATCAGACTGAGATGGAGGCCGCGTGTATGGATATAAGAGACTTTTATCCGGGGGCTTTTGATAAAGACAACATTTAGCAAGGTTCTCATGGACAGTCCATGTATTTCAACATAATTTTTTGCAGGGAAATGCATCTCAGGATGGCCAAAGCTGTTCAGTTCACTGTATTAGACAGCAAGTTTGGTGCTGGACCAGCAGCCCTGGGGACTGGAGTCCTCTTTGGCAGGTAGGGGACAAGCAATAGCCATGCCAACTTCTTTCAGTCATTGATCAGCTAAACCTAGAGGGTCTCAATCCTGGACTAGAAGAGCCAGCTCTTGGGGTGAGGGGTGCTCAGGCCCTGGTCTCTGAGTGCTGGCCAAGTAGTTTTAGATGCGGCAGTTCTCTCTTTCGGCTGGGTCTGTTGGGATCGATCACAGCACACATTTCCCTCCCTCCGTCCTACCCCAGCTCTTCCACACCCAGCTATGAGGAGCTCCCATAGTCTCCCTGAAATCCTGCGTTGCATCAAGCAGCCTGTCAGCGGAAGAGAACTGCTGGGATTTGAAACCCTTTCAGCACGTTCAGATGACAAGGGCGCCCCGAGGATCAAACCCGATGAGCCTTGCAAAGGGGGACCGATCATATTTCCACTGGAGTGAGACCCTGGCTAAAAGCTAACCTTTGGGGGCTCAGACGGCTGGGCCCGAGAGCACGTCTACGCCACCGTGTGATAGGAAACGCTGTCGTGAAAACACGCCCCATCCGCTCTCTCCCATTTTGCACAAGCCAAATGCCCAAAAGAACGTCGTTGCGGAGCAGTGCCAGGCACATGCCAATAACCGTGCGACGACTGAGTGCCTGAGCCTGGCACGGGGCGTTCACCAGACAGCGTGCTTTTTGGCATTTGATACGAGCAGGCAGGCACGCTTTCACGGGAGTGCCTGCGGCACCGGGAGAAGCGGTGTCCTCAATGGGAGCACAGCACATCATTTTTTGGTCCTACGAATAATGGCCCTAGGCTATGTAACCGCCACAGGAACCAAAGTCCTACCAAAAAAAGGCCCTTTTTTCCTCTCCAGCGGTGGCCAGTTTTTAATGAACATCTCCGCAGTGGTCCTGCAACTTTCATTGCAAAGACAAAAGTTGGCTTCGGGGCATCTGCCAGTGAGGAGGGAGAGCCATAGACAGGAGGGTGGTGGAGTGAACTAGATGAGCAAGCGTCAGTGTTTAAACCCCAAACTGGGAGAAAAAACAGTATAAAATGAACTGAATCTGAAAATTTGGGGGTGGGGGCGGTGGCAAGGTTGGTTTTCATTAACCTGAAATGTCTCGTTTGGCCAGAGACAAAAATAGATGTTGTGTTTTTAGGTGATTTCGCTCTTTTTTGAAAACCCTTTTTTCATTCCACGAACCTTTCGGTGAAAAATGCCGTTTTGTAATAAGTCAAAGCTCCATTTTTAAGAAATGTCAAAAAATGATATATTTTGGCTCTTACAAAATTGGCAACAGTGTAAGACATTCTGGGATGCTCCGAGAAGGCGGGAATGAAATGTTTAAAAAATTCTCCCCCTTTTTCAGCCAAAACTCTGGTTTTTTCGGCAAATTTACTATCCATTAAAAAATTGAACCTGGCTCCAGTGACGAGGGGAGATTTCTCTAGGATTTCTCTGGCTTCCTGATAGAGCACAAGGTCTGCCTTACGGGTCTCACAGTTAAGACTGAGGCTGTGGTTGCAACACTGATCCAAGTTTTAACTGTACGAAATCCTTGACCAGCTCAGGGTACGAGCCCTGTGTTAGGGGCATGGATAGCCCCCGACTCTACAGGACTGTGTGGGCATTACCCAGCAACATGCATGTGACATGTCGTCCTCTATACACGTCTGGTGAGTGTGCTACAGCCCCGGGAAGTGACCCTGCCTCTCTAGCTCGGCTGCAAGAGCTCATGAGTTTAATTCGGGAGGTCACCCACTCTTCTCCCAGTGTGTCAGCCAAGATAGCAGCTGTAACACCTGCATGCCTGCCCCCCAGCGCTGTCCAGGTTTTGCAGGTAATTAGCCTCAATGGATGCACCTTTAACTAGAACGACTGGCATTTAAAAGACAATTTGAACAATCCTCCCCAGTTCATTCCTTCAAATGGGCAACAGCAGAAGAGCTGTTAAGTTTGAAAAGGCATTGAATTTAAAGGCAAAAGCCCAAATTGAAGACATGACTGGTTTCCACACCTCAGTCCTATTAATCGAGTGATTGTACTTGTGCTGGGACATGCTAACACTCAGTATGAGATAGTGGTGAGGCCTTCCACTGGCTTTGCCTTTGTGGTGATGGGGACCCAAAATAATAGCCTTGCAAGTCCCAGGCCCTAGTGCCTATGTTTGTGGGCTCTGTAGTTAATGGAGCGCTAGGAAGCTCATGGGGCCAGTTATGGATAAGGGACCAAAATATTGGTAATCTGCTCTGAATTTGGATTAAAAACCTCCAAAACTGAGCGTCTGGACAAATGATAAATTTATGCCCGTGTATCTTACACTGGTTTTGGATATGTGTGTAAATCACACTGGGATCTGGAGTGGACGGACACCTGCAATCCCAGCAGAGCTGCTTTTAGATGCTATTATGGTACCTTGCCATTGGGTTGTGGGGGAACAGCCTGGTTGCCTTGAGTGACTGGCTACCCACGGGAAGCTGTGGACAGATGGCAATTGCATCCGTGTAATTTTCCTCTGATTCTTGCAGGGCTAACTCTACACCAGATTAGTATAGACCAGATTTGTATAACACCAGTTAACCCAATGTAAAGGTTCACATTGTCCCCTGTTTTTCGTGCCAGTGATTACAGCGGTGCACTTTGCCATCTGTCTGGGCCCCGCTTCTCTCTTTCCTCCCAGGTAAATCCCCATTCTAGTAAACTGAGATCATAAATTTAGGGCTGGAGCTGTTGTCTTGCATTTGTCTGCAAAAGTGCCATGCAAGTATATTAGGCTTGATAAATATATCAACTGCTTTAAAAACAACCACCCTTCTCTCCTCGACGCTAAGCAGCAATGAATCCAGGAGGGGTGGGCTTATTAACCATCCCTAGGAGAGGCTCTTGGGATCGGGGAACGGGGTTGACTTTTTTGGCCAGGCCAGGTCTAAACCGATTCACTATGGGTCAGTGAGGGGGAAGCAGAGTTTCTGGTTAGATCTCATTCTGTTCATTCAGGTCGTTGCCGATACCGTCGTACTCACTGGAGCGTGGCGACATGCCCAGGTACTGCTTCAGGAACTCGCTAAACCTCTTCTGGTTGTTCCACTTCCGGGCTGACTTCCTGACCCCGATGAAGCCCCCGTATCGTTTCTGCACCCCGCTCACGGCGGGCTCCAGCACCTGCCGGTAACTGTACTTTCCGTTCAGGAAGTCACCGAGCCTCTTGGAAATGTCCTTGGGCTGCTCTGGGAAGTCCCCCACTTGGGTCTCGCTCCCATCACTGGCACCGTCTTCTGCTTCCCGCTGGCGGATCAAGCCGCTCACCTTGGACACTCGCTTCTCGTCTTCCACTTTGCTAAGATCCACCACTTTGGTAAGGTCGTTGTAGCGCTTCAGGCCTCCTCCAAACAGGTCGCCGTCCTCCGTGTCCAGGGGCTGGTAAACGTCTTCCTCCAGGCTGTCCGCGCTGAGCTGTAGCGTGGCCTTCCCGGCCACCTTGCTGCAAAGCTCCCAGGTGCCGCTGGAGAAGACCTTCCCTTCGCACTCCACGATGCAGACCTGCGGAGAGGAACAAGACAAGGACTCCTTCAGCCAGCCTTTTCCGTTCAAAGTGGATTTCCTCCCCCTAAACCCTATCAGCGACTGCTCAGCAGCGCGGGCAAGACTTCCCCGACCCTGCTCTTTGTTAGCTGAAAACCAGCAGCGTGGTACGGAGCTGGCAAAGGCAATGCGAGTGTCAGGTCTGCTAGGACCTCAAGCAGGTAGGGAACTAATAATCTCCTAAGAGGCTTTGGGCAACACGAGCATTACATGAACACCCAGAGCCATCTCGGGTCCGTCCGGGGTCTGCACATCAGAGGTTAATATCCCATCTCTTCCCCCTCGCCCTGGGGTAGGGGAGGTCTCTACAGATTGCATTTCAGCTACGGGACATTACAACACGGATCTTTATTTGGAGACTTATGGCTAAAGAAGTGAACCTGTGGCGGCCGCGTGTAGCTACCTGGCTGAGCAGGTGATATTGCAACCACGCTCGTGCAAATGGTCCGATGACCGCTGCCTGAAAATACCCAGACCTGTGGTTATGATGCTGAACAACAACCTGTCTGGCCTGCAAACTGCCGTCCAGTTAGCTTTCTATAGCAGGCCGAGGGATCTGCAGGGAAGGCAGTTGTGTTCGCAGTGGGGCTGTCTAGCCAGCCCTGTAATCCTCTTAACCTCTTTGGAAACTAGATATTTAATACCCTCCCTCCCTCTGTTTCGGTAGCTGAATGGTCTGCCCGAGTGATTCACAGACAAGCAGGAATTGTCACGCCACATCCAGCGTCACGGTATCGGGACATCGCTTCCAAGACACAGGGACGAGGCAAATTCCCAGTTACGCTGGTATGAAGCCAGAGTCATTTTATTTCCCTGGGCCGGGTGAATTAACCCACCCACCCCTGAAATTCACTGGACCTTTTCTGAGCGTTGGGATTACATCCTCCCTGCTGGATTTCGTATTTCCAAACGCTTCTGGATCCCTGGGTCCTGGGTGCCAGCATCCCTCGCTACGAATCGTATACCCCAGGGAGGCAGCTCCTGCCGCGTATCTAATAGGACCAGAGTTGGGCCATACTGGGGACCTTTACACATCTGACCTAAGGGTTTCCATCCCAAACTGGGCAGCTTTGAGAGGGTCTCACGGCTCAAATAAACATCTGGACTCCTGGGCTCTTGGACAGTTCGGTCTCAGCTAAGTCAGTGGTCCTCCATCCAGCATTTCCCTGTGAAGGGAAGGGAGAGGGGGATCCTGTGCATGTCCCTTCATGCTTGCAAAGCCTTGTGGAGATCCTGGATTGGAAAAAGCCATAGACTTGCACTGTATTTTGAGACTGCTTGCCATGCCCCCCATGCCGGCAGGCCTCTTTGCTGACACCAGTGCAACGGTCGGGGAACCTTGCAGCAGCTGCTACAAAAAACCCCAATATACACTCGTGAGTGACAATGATTCACAATTCTCCTTTGAAGTTGGTGCTCTGCTCAGTGCCACTCTGTCCTTAATCCAGGTTTTCTATATATACTCCCTCCTTTGGATCCGAACAACCCCCGGGGTGCGGACCCTGATCAAACGTCAGGCCACGTAACCACCGTCCTTGCTGGTCATTATGTTAACAAGCCGAGGCGGGGAGGAAAGGTTGGGGAAGGGAACAGCTAAAACAAGCCAACGAGGGAAGCTAATCCAGGGGAAAATGAGGTTTTTTGTTATCTCCAGAGAAAGGCCAGCTCAGTCCTTGCCAAAGTTATTCAAGTGATGCAGACAGGCCCGAGTGACGCACGGGTTGGAGCAATACAGTACAGCCGCACCAGCGAAATGGCTGAGAAAGCTGTAGGTCTATTTAAAGTGGCCTGTCTTCCCAAAGTCCAGGCGGGTTCGAATCGAGGTTTCCTTTGGGACTCTCTCTCTCCTAACATGAATGGGGCGAGGACCCTGCAGCTCTCTGTAAGGCTCTTCTCAGCACTCGTATTAAGAGAGATTTTGGTATTATCATCTTAGAAATGCACTTATTCTGCAGGTAAACCGAGCGCTGAGTGCTTTGCTCAGAGGGACGGGCGAGCCTGCAGTAAACTGCTCCCTCTGAGAGCACGCTCATGCAATTCCTGCTTGGAGAAATACCCTCCTTTGGGAGCTGTCTGACATCTCTATAGCAGCTTGCCTCTTTTGATCAGAGGCAATTTTCTATATTGCCCGATATACTTTCTCTGACAGTGGCAGGAGTGGATACTAGAGGGAGAGCATTGAAGAGGGTGACTCTGGAGTGATTTATTCCCTAGTCATTACCCTCCCTGGCATCTACTATCATCGGTTTAGAGATGCCAGAGGAAAGATCTCAAACTGTTTTGTTTAATAACTATCCATAAACCTAACTTCCATGCATTTGTCTAGTCCGTTTGAGAACCTGGTTATACCATCTGCCTGGTTAAACCCTGCCTGGTTACACTGCAACCTCTTGTGGCAATGAGGTCTACAAGTTAACTATATGCTGGGCGCATCTACAAGTGCAAGTAGCACGTAGCAGTAAACTCTGGCGCAGTTTGCATCAGAGTTTATTCCTCCGGGGCCCAGCGTTTACATGTGCGCTCAGGACCGCAGCACGTTGAACCGAGGCGGAGCAGCTCCGGCTGGCAGGGGACGTGGGGCTCTGCCCCAGCTCAGTGTGCTACCAAGGGCCTGGCCGCGGCACGAGGGTGCTACAGTGTGAGGCGAGCCAGCAGGCAGCCCCAGCCAGCCCTGGTCGCCGTCTCCATGTGCACTGAGGCACACTAAATATAACTCCCCCACAGCATAGTACTTGTCCCGGACAGTACTATCCTACAGTGGAGTGAATTAATTTACTGCACCCGAATAGGAGCGCACGTGTAGATGGTGATGCTTTACCGTGGGGCGAATTAGTCAGCTCCGCAGTAAAGCGCATGTGTAGCTGCACCCACTGTGCAAACAAGTACTTTCTCTTGTTAGTTTTAAACCTGTCTCCTGCTCATTTCAGTGGGTGCCCGCCAGTCCTAGTACTCTGGGTCTTGGTGAACAGCAGTTCCCTGTTCACTTTGTCCACACCCTTCACCATTTTATAGACCTTAATCCTATCCCTCCCCCTGAAGCCTTTTCCTTTCCAAACTAGACTTTTTAGTCTCTCCTGGTATGGCACCCGCTCCATACCCCTGACCATTTTGGTGGCCCTAATTCTACTGCATCCTTTTTGAGATGTGGAGATGAGGGCCGGAGAGCCCAATGCACTCGACAAACATTAAGTCTCCCAACATCCGTGTAACGGGGGGATTATGAAACTGCTGTCAGTTGAATTTAGCTTCTGTTAAACCTGATTTTTAATGCCCTGTAGGTTTGGCTCAGAAAACTTGTTTGGTGTAAAAAGTGCTGCATTTACTGGGGGGGAGGGGGAGTTTCTTAGTAGTAAAGATTACATATGCCGGAGGTCGCGTGCCTCTTTGCAATTACAATGTAAAAGGTAAATGCTCATGCCTTCAAATGGCTGGTGCTGCATCTCATTAACAACAAGGCATATCCTAACAATTCCAATTAGGTTGACTATCGTTATCACCAAGACTGAAAAAATAGTCATTTTTATGGAATATTTTGAAAAGTATTAAAGAAGTGATATCCCTCTGCCTGCCCAATTAAGCAGCACTGTTAAATGCCCCCCACAATTTGAACGTTAGTTGATTGTGACACTCGCTCAAGGTAGAGAAAAGCCTTGAGGACATGAACAGTAAAATGCTTACATTGCCATTAAAGAAAACCTTCAGGAAAGCTAATGCAGAAAAAATTATGGGGGAGAAATCTTGTAGTCCTCTACCTCTGAAGTCAAGCAGGTCACTTCCAGCAAAGGAAAGGAGCCCTCCAAAACCGTAAGATGACTCTCTGCTCACCTGGACCCGGTGCCCACATGCAATGTTACTCCGTGTCTTCGGCTGCTCCCAAACGCTCGAGCAATGGGGCAGAGGTCGTGTTTCCATTAAACCAGTCAGTTAAACTTAGCGCCAGACCTCTCTCTGCCCCGAGTTGATACTTCTGTACCAAAGGATCTCAAACACTTGACAGCTTCCATAAATCATAGGTTAAAGCTGTGCTTACTGCTTACCCATCTTTGCAGTGAAATTGCCTCTGGGCAGCAGGGGACTGATTATACACAGGGCGCAGTAACACTATAAAACACTGCAGGTTAGCAAGCGATTATCTTATCCGGGTAGACCGGCTCGAAAGATTTAGGTAGGGAGAACGTAATGGGATATTAACTTGGACATGACTTAATGCTTCCTGCTCTACTGCTAAGGCATCCTTAATTACCACAAATGGCCTGAACTTTGGTTCTATAATGAGATCCACCGAGGTGCCAAATCCTGAGTATCCTAGGATTTGTCTGCCCGGTCTCTTCTCCTCTACGCATGTCAACCCCAGGAATGAAAGTGTGAGGATAATGTGGAGGTGCCCCCAGCACAGATCTGAGTTTCCAGCATGCTCAAGAAGTGGTTTGGCTCCTTCAGGGTGCATCTTCATTGACCCACGCAGAATGGCAGTGCGCCGGTGGGGCTCATTGCCTTGGCTATGATCCTGAGATCTCTGCCACTGTAGTAGACATACTCTACTTGCTCCTCGATATCATGCAGAAGCACTATACCGTGACACAAAGGAAAGGGTATCACCACCTCTACCTCCTACCTATCTCTCATTCCTATTAGAGGTCTCCTAGCCTGCATCGTCGGTGAGTGAACACAAGGCACATTTGTACCAGTGTAATCTGCCTTTCTGTGGGCACGTCTACATGAGACATTTACTGCAGAGTAGACTAATTAGCTCCGGAGTAAACATCGTGCATCTACATGTGCCGCACCCATTTGGCTCGAGTAAACTAATTAACTCCGCAGCTGATACCGGTACTATCCTGCTGCAGTTTTTTATTCCACAGCAGCGCATAAGGGTGCTTCAGTGCAGGGGCTGGTTGCTGGCTACCCCACACTGGCACACACCAGTGCCCCAGCCAGCCCCGCCACAGCATGCTGAT